AATAGTAATGGAAAGATTAGACATGATAATACAATTGTATATATGCGCACGCACGTGCGCACACACACACACACACACACACACACATGCACGCAGAGTCAAGTCTCAATATTTGTGGCAGTTATATTCTTTAAAGAGACCGTAAACACTGAATTAGTAACTACTGATCATTGCTCCTAGGGAAATATTGATTAGGTTCCCATGAGTCTCCAGTCACAACTTTTTGTCAACTGATCAATATATAATTTTGTTTAAAGCCACCTTATTTAGTGTATACTGTTGATAAGTTAACACTGAGCCTGTGGCCCATAGCACTATAACTTATGCCTGAACAAAGTTAATTTAACACACGTATTTTCTCTATAAGGCACAACACAGCCTTTTGGAGATTAGGAACCCTAGAGAGCACTTCAGCTCTATGTTTAGGGGCCTTTTAAACATTGAAATCACCAACAGAAAGCACAAAAATGTGAAAAACGTGGCACCAAATAAACCATGAAAAGGACGCTTGTTTACAATTTGAGAGCTGAACCTAGAAGGCACTTGGATCAACCTCAGCTGGGACTGTGCACATTGGGCAACGCAAACTTTTTGCCTCGCTGCGTACACATGTCCATGACTGCAGAACACCACAAATATTGATATTGAGGTTACAAATAAGTTTTAGCAAGTAGGCAAATTTGCAGACACACAATCTATATGTAATGAAGAATGATTGGCTGTCTATGTATGTAATGAACATATACCAAAATATTTTATGGATGAAAAACAGTTCATTTCACCCTGGTTGTCTTGGAGGTTAGATTCCCCATAACTAAACCCGAACCTAAACATGCTTCTGTTTCAACCAGCTCAGCTATGCTATCGTTTATTTTTCATATTGGATCTCTATGTAAGAATTCATTTCACATTAGAGACCATAATGCTCATAGTAACAGCATCCACAACAGTATCGTGTTCATATTAAACCTTAAGAAATATTGTTGCCTGAATGCATGCATACATGCATTTAGGATTCTATAGTTTAAATTTTTTTAAAAATTGACACATGAAATTTTCTCTTTCATAACCTAATTCTTCTAAGGGAAATCATCCACAGAGTGAAACACACCTGCCAATTGCTTCCCCGCTTGCAGAATTGATCAGTTTTGGTATTCCTTAAAGACACTCTGGTCTTAATCACCATCCCTAGAATAACATATAGGCTCTCAAAGCTATGTTCTAGAACGTACTTTCACTGGTACAAGTCTAAAACATAGAGGTTATTCATCATGTTCAAAGTATTCTGGGTTCATTATTATTAACCACAATATCTCCAATTGAAAAGTATTTTGTTTAGGCTTGGGATAAGTCAATTTAAGTAGGTTTACATCTATAATTATGTGACATTATTCCATAATTTTTAATAATGTTTTGGGTTTATTAGCAATAACACTTATTCAAAGACATAATAACTTTTACTTTTAATGATTCAACTACTTTTATAAGAAAAAACACTCTGACTTGATTGTTCTATTTAAAGATACTTGAGGTTCCAAAGCATGAATAATATTCAAATGCAAATATAAAAAGTAAATTTCAGAACAAATTGTAAGCTGCTTAAATTATCCACTACTTTTCTCAGCTACATATCTGTCCCACTAGTTTAGAACAGGTTTTTAAATAGAAAGCTGTATTTTAATATTGTATTTGTATATCGATTTACTAAAATGAAAGCTATAGACTTCTTGGCATAGAACTACTCACATATTATATGAATTTAGGTGATTGATAACCATAGTAAGGTATGTTCCTATATTTCCTTTCTGAAAAAGGAAACTTTTTTTAATTTTTCAGGATCCAGTTCCTATTATTTCTATGGAGATTTCTTCAAAGAGAGTAAGTTGTGTGTGTGTGTGTGTGTGTGTGTGTGTGTGTGTGTGTTTTCTATGTTTGAGTTAAAGTCAAAGGATAAAGAGCTTATATCTGAACAAGTTATAGTTTTATTCTGAGAAAAATATATAGTGATTCACATGTAATATATTTTCTTCTTAGGAAGACTTGAATAGATTTGCATATACAATTACAAGACATTATTCTATAACTTCTCGCTAATGCTTTTTCAAAAATAATAGTAACACAAAAAGTTTGTGCAGTGAAACACAAACCTCCTTTCCATTTTTTAAAATATATCTTTATTGATTTCAGAAAGGAAGGGAGAGGAAGAGAGAGATAGAAACATCAATGATGAGAGAGAAATATTGATGGGTTGCCTCCTGCATGCCCCACACTGGGGATGGAGCCTGCAACCCAGCCATGCACCCTGACTAGAATGGAACCATGACCTCCTGGTTCATAGACTGATGCTCAACCACTGGACCACACAGTCCAGGCCCTCCCTTCCATTTCACTGATACTAGTTTCTGGTATAAATGTCTCATAAACAGTTGCATATATTCTTCAAACTTATTAGTAAAATAACCTTTTAGGTTTAGAAAAATGGGAACATGCAATGTTAATTGTTCTGCTACTTGCCCTTTTTATTTACCAACATATCTTTCAGTTTATTCCATGTCATTCTATGTAAGTCTACATCATTATATGTCGATGTACACTCTTGGTGGGAATGTAAATTAGTGAAGCTACTTTAGAAAAAAGTATGGAGGTTCTTGAAAAAATTAAAAATAGAGTTACCATATGTTTCAGTAATTCCACTTCTGGGTATATAACTGAAGAAAAGGAAAACACTATTTCAAAGGTATTTGCACTCCCCTGTTCACTGCAGCATTTTCTCCAATAGCCAAGACATGGAAACAACCAAAGTGTCCATCGAGGATGACTGGATAAAGAAAATGTGGTATACACTATGTGTTAGCATTTTAGAGAGTTCTGTCCATAAAAATATAATTCAGCCATAAAAGAAGAATATCCTGCCATTTGTAATAGCATAAATGGTCCTTGAGGGCATTATGCTAAGTGAAATAAGTCAGAAAAAGACGTGGATACCATATGAACTCACTTAGATGTGAAATTTAAAAAAAAAGAGCTTATAAGTACAGAGAACAGATTGATGGTTGCCAGAGGCATGGGGTGGGGGATGAGCAAAATGGGTGAAAGTGATCAAAAGGTATAAACCTCCAGTTATAAAATACCTAAGTCCTGGGGATATAATGTACAACATTGTGATTATAGTTAATAATGTATTGAATATTTGAAAGT